AAGCTCAGAGAGCCGCCCCTGTGGTCCCCTCTTTGGGTTGAGCGTTGTTCCACTGACCTGTGTCTGGGACACCTGCCTGTCCTCCCCTTGTCACTGTGTCCAGTCCCAGGAGACCTCCCCTCACGCCCGAAAATTAGGGGACAGTCACGTTAAATGACTGTAAAGCTCGAAGTGACAGCTACTTAGAAAAATAAGTGTCATGTGGTTATTTTCCCGATGGTGCTTGGGGTGTCTGGCCCAGGTGCAGCGCTTGTCTCACCCCATTCTCTGGCCGGGCCAGCTCAGCAGCGCCCCCTCCTGTTCTCTGGGCTCCATCCCACGGAGCTTTTTCTCGGCTCCAGTTGCCTGGGGCAGGCAGGGTCATGGGATCGACAGAGTGTCTGACATCAAGGGTATGAACAGCCCCTGCACCTTAGCTCAGCCTCACTTTGAGTTTGGTTATAGTTTCAAGACGAGCGTCATCCGTGCTCACAAATGGCTCAGGGCTCTGCACCTGCCTTCCAGCCCGGCCACGGCAGATATCCGGTGTCATCCCCCACGCTGTGCTAGAACGGATCCTGAATAAATGAATAAATGGATGGTGAGCCCTTGCCACGGTGCTGTTGGGGTACATTTGGCACAAATGGCAAGGGCACCCCAAGTGGTGCCCATAACCCAAATCAGAGTGACTAGCTTTGGATTCCGGCTCCAGCCCCCTGCTAATGCGCATCTGGGAATGGGCAGTCAGTGATTCAGGCACTTGTGCCCCCACCACCCACCTGGGAGACACAGGCTGAATTCCGAGCTCCTGACTTTAACCTGTTCCAGTCTCGGGTCTTGTAGAAATTTAGGGAATGAACCAGCAAATGCAAGATTTCTCTCTGTCTGTCCTTCATGTATCTCTCTGCCTTTCAAATAAAATGAAAAATATTTTTAAAGAATCACAAAGAGACAGATTTTCCATCTGCTGGTTCACCCTCCACGCCCCCAGATGGCTGCAGTAGCTGGGGCTGGGCCAAAGCCAGAAAACTCAGAAAATGCAGAGAGCACTAACTCATGGACTATCCTCTCAGTTATAAAACACTGGATACACATCTGGACAGTTTTCTTTTTTCCCTTCTGACTGTCTCCTGTGCCCCTAGAAATAGCTGTTGTTATGACTTGTTGTGGTATGTGTGGAATGGCTGTGTCCAAGATGTGTGCACACTTGCAGAATCCTGGCATGGGGGCCACAGCTTCTGGCCTGCACCCTGGGTTTCTGAGATAAATGACTCAGGAAATACCTTCACACTGGGGGTGCCCTGATCCCCCAAAGAAGACAGAGGTTACCAACGTCTGCCGCTGTACGTCCTGAAGATGCACCACAGCCAAAGGCCCATCCATGGCAGAACAGGTGTGATAGCAGTAGGGACTTCCTCTCTCACTTCACCCACCTGCCATTCATCGTCACCCTGCTGAATGCCCAAGGCAGGGCTGACGACACATGGGCTCACACGGTGTCCTGAGGTCCATGTGCTCCACACTGCAGCAAGGGGTTGGGGGAGGTGAGGCAATGCTTGTGAAACATCATGCCTGATCCTGTAAGCAGGACCCCAGGCCACACTCCACGCTGCTCAGACCCAGCCTGCGCTTCTGGGAGCAGACCCAGAGGTGGAAGGCTGGGGAGAAGAGATGCTTGGAACGTAGGAGAAATGAATGAGGAAGAGGCCAAGGTTCCGAGTGCTTGTCCCTTCTGTGCGTGAGCTTCTGATCACAGCTGACAAGTCACCTTCAGAGGTGTCAGGCTTTTGTGGGGGACTCAGTTTAGAGGCTTGGTGTGTAAGGAGGAAGGGAGGAGAGGGAGAAGATTCATGAAGGGCAAGTTTGGAGTGAGTGCACTGTATCTGTAGGCACCACGGTCAGTAGGCACAGCCCCGAGAAATAGAAACATCCATGCTGAGGGCACAGGTGGCCTCCCATGTCCCGTGCCTGGGGAGGATGATGCAGCCATTAAAAAGAACACCTTTTAAAGATGAGTTAGTCTGGCCGACCACGTGATTTCTATCCACAGTTCTACCCAGTACGGTAGAGCGCTGTGCATGCAGAGTGGAGCTTAGCAGACTATCTCAGAGGAATGTTGAGAACTAAGCCTCTGGATACGAGCTAATGTTCCGAAAGCCTGGGCTTCGTTTGCGGGTTGAATATATAAATATATGATTTCCTCCTTGCTGCCAAAGCACGTTTTTCTCTCAGCGTGGGAGCAAACTTTATACGCCTGCATCCCTGTGCTGTTTCCTTTTGGGGTTTTTTTCAGCAACTTTTTGGATGGATGCTAACTTATTTTTCAAATCGTTATTATTTAAATTGTTTTAAATTTAATTTCACTTATTTGAGAGAGAGCGCTTTCATGCACAAGTCTGCTTGCCCAATACCCACAGCTGGGTGTGGGCCAAGCTGAAGCCAGAAGACTAAGTTAATCTTTGTTTCCCACTTGGGTGGAAGGGACTCAGTCACTTGAGCCATCACTTCCTGCCACCCGAGGTGCACATGAACAGGAAGCTGAAGGACTGGCATTGTGATGCAATAGGTTCAACCACCTTCTGTGATGCTGGCATCCTAGAGGAGCATCAGTTCGAGTCCTGGCTGCTCCACTTCCAATCCAGCTCCTGCTAGTACTCCTCAGAAAGCAGTGAAAGATGGACCAAAATACTTGGACCCATGCCACCCATGAGAGAGACCCAGCTAGAATTCCAGGCTCCTGGCTTCAGCTTCACCCAACGCTGGACATTGCAACCAACTGGGGAGTGCGCCAGCAAATGAAAGATAAATTTTTCTCTCTGCCTTTTACACGAATTCCTTTACAAAAGAAGAAAACGAAATGAAGTCAGGACGTGAACTCTGACACTCTCATATGGGATACAGTGTGTTAACCACTGCAACAAATGTCCACCCTAATTTGTTTTAACTAGAAAACAAACTAAAGATTTCCTTAAAAGTTAAATATTTAGTGCCAAGAGATGTTTGTAAATAATTGTTAAATGACAAAAACAGGTTGCAAAGTATGTAGTATAATTCCGACTTTAAAATGAAACTTTAAATTCCAGCAACGCTGAGAGTCACTTTGGCCATCCCTTGTGAAAACTCAGCATATCACTGTCCCACTCCGTGGACAGTGTCTGGGAGAGGTGAGAGTCTGGGCTCACCCCAGCACCTGCCTAGGATTGTTCCCAGTGGCCGGAGACATGAGGGACCTGCGATGGGGAATGACTTTGTGGTCCAAAGGGGCCTTTGGGTGTTGCTCTGCCGAAAGGCGGAACACAAGCTGCCATGCTCAGCTGCGCAAATGAGTCCTGAGAGCTTTCTGCTGAGCACAAACAGACAGGCCCCAGTGGCCTGCTGGGCTGCTCCACACGTAGAATGTTCCTGCAATGACAAAACCTTGGGTCACAGAAGAGGTGGAGTGGGAAGGAGGGGGGCATGCTCCAACCTCAGCTCTCCCAGCTGTGCAGCTGTGCAGCTGTGCACTGCCCTGTGGTTATTTGAGATATTATCACTGGGGAAAGCCAGTTAAAGGGCACCCAGCTTTTTTTGGTAGCATTCTGACAGACAGAGAAGAAGAACGAGAAGATGTAGGAGTGGGGTAGAGTGGCAGGCAGCCCCACTTCCCCCACCACCCAGGTCAGGGAGACTTTAACTAAAGATACACCCAGCAACGGTTGGCAGGGTAACAGACCCCACGTCTCCCCATTGGGCCACCCCAAGGCCGCTTGATCCTCTTCTTCCCTTGCAAGCCCTTTGGGTTCACCAGCAATAACAGCTACTCTTGGCAAATCAAGGGCACAGCCAGATGGGGATATGTGATTTCTGGAGCCAAAGCAGCAAACATCCCCTGGACCATCACCATGAGTCCAAGAACTATAAAGGGTCTCTAGATTAAGACGATGGGGAGACTTATGTTCCTGCAGTGTCTGCCTCCCCCCCAAACACTACTTCTTAGCTCCTGGCTCCCTTCCTACCATCCCCAACCAATCCGAGCTTACTCCCTGGGGTCCCTCCAGCCACTGAAGGAGGCTGGCCACAGGGAAGGTCTGGGCAGGGGCCACAGTAACCATGGCTTTGGTAGTGACCAGGAAGGGGAGCAGGTGTATCCGCTGATTAGCAAGCAGCCTTTGCCAGTGGAAGCAGGAAAGGGTGCCTAGCTGGTGATGACATCATCCCCTTGGCTGTGTTCCTGAGGGAGTGCGAGGTCTGGCATGGCTGCTACAGGCTGGTGGGATGCCCGCTGCAGGAAGCTCCAGGGCTGCAGGAGTAGGAAGACTGCCCCAGGTGTTGGCACCCCATGCACTCCCCTCTCTACCCACATCCAGTTCTGTGAGGGGCATTCCCCAGGCTGTGGGTCAGCAGGGACTGGGAGAGTTGGATGAAAGATTCTGGAAGGAAAAACTGGTCTATCCTCGTGCTGCGACCAAAGCACCTGAGGACCCCGTCTGCCACCTTGAGAAGGCTGCTTCTCACAGCAGGGAAGAGGAAGCCGGCAGGAGACGGCCCAGCCCCTCTAGAAGCTTTGGTTGTCCCATGATGTGCAAGCTCAGCCTGTACCTTAGCAAGGACCTGCCCTAACTAAGCGTTGGCCAGGGGAAGCCACAGATTGGCAGACCAACCCTCACTCCATCCTGGCCTTTGTCCCAAATGCCTCGTTTCCTGTGAGTAAACTCTGGCTTTGGGGTCCCCTGGATGTGAAAATTCTGCCCCCAGCTTGCCCAGAGTGGCTCTGAGGGCCCCTCCTGTGCCAACATGATCATTCTCACAGACTTCAGACCTGGACCACAATGCCTGTGGTTGCTCTAGGGCCCCCTTCCTTGCTGTGTGATGTGTGTGTGCCCACCAAGCACCCACCTGACCGGGGATCCTGGAGCCAGGCTTCCTTCGGTCCCCATCTCCAGGGCATGCACAGAGCTTCCTGGACACGCCAAAGCCGGTCTGGAGCCACGGGATCTCCCAGCGCCCCTGCAGCTCCCATCTCTTCCTCCCCCCCCCCCCAGGGATCTACAAGGGGCACTGCTTCCGCATCAATCACTTCCCCGAGGACAACGACTACGACCACGACAGCTCCGAGTATCTTCTCCGTGAGTGCTGCGTCTGCTTCACTTCCTCTGGGCCCACAGCGGGTAGGGGTGCTGAGGGTGCCTGGGGTGCACAACCAGCGAGATTCTGTAAGGATCAGAAGTTGAGGGGGTGGGCACACGTGGAGGATGGATCTTGTCCAACCTCTCAAGGCACCCTGGGTGTCCCAGAGGCTGATGGGACACCCCACCCATCAGTAGGTCCTCCAACCCACCCCACCCTCCGCATTTCCCCCACCAACCAGGGATTCAGGACAGCTTCGTTTATGGAGAATCGATAGTGGTGCTCACAGAGGAAGCACGATTCACGCTGCACCTGCTTTCAGGCTGTTCTAGAGAAAAGCTTTGGCTTCTGAGTCATCAGGTGAAATTGAGCAGCGAGCGGTTCCCATGGAGCCGTGGAAGGCTGATCCGATCCAGCCAGGGCACACCTGGGAAATAACTTAGCCCCCGTCACCCTCCTTCCCCTCCTTCCCCTACCTGCCTGCTTGCCCTCTGATGTGCTTTCTTGGGGCCCACACTGAGCCGAACAAATGAGGCTCTCATAGGGATGCCCCAGAGTTGTATCGGTTGCACACCACATAGATGATGGTTGTGATTGACAGCTGTCCACGTGGCCCTTGCTGTGCAGTGCATGTGGGAATTCACAACAGAAAATCAACCTTATTCAACACCTGCCCCTCTGCCCCCAGCCCTCCTGCTCCCTGGGACCTCTGAGGAATTTACTTGCTCACTTAACAGAAGTTAAGGTGCTGAGTCAGGCAGGTGGAATACAGCAGCAAATTGGCTGTGACTGTCCAGGACTCCTCAGGGTTCCCTTGCTGGCTGCCAGAGGCCTCTGAGCACTTGTGATGCCCCCTGCTGGTTGGGGACAGGTATTGGGGCAGGTCGCCATTCACCTCTGCCAGCCACAGGGTGCCAGGGTCAGGGCTGCTACAAGTCCACAGTTGCACCTGAGGGTGAGTGGGAGGAGGGGTGTGCCTTGCAGGCAGGTGCAGGTCCTGAACATGGCCAGCAGGGCAGGGGCTGGGCTGCATTTGGGCCTCATCCGTCCCCTGGCACCTGTACCCTGTCCACAGCAGCCCTGACTGGCACGTGTATAGGCAGGACTCAGAGATGAGGCCTTGTGTTCACATGACTTAACGTGAGCAAGATGCATGCTGTAGGATGTCGGCTCGCTCCTCCCTGGTCCCTCTGACCCATCTGCAGAGCCTAGAGAGGACTCAGGGAAACGTGGAGGGGCCTGCGCAGCTCAGAGGCACGTTTGAGACATGCACAGGAAGCCTGTCCCATGGGAGCTGGGAGGCTGCACCCCGAGAGAAGCGCTCCATTGAAGGGCCAGTACAATCCCCTCTCTGTAAAGCTGGGGGCCTCTCTGCTGGCTCCCAAGACAGCAGACAAACACTGCCTTCAGAGGCTGAAGTCTGGAAAACCATTCAGCTGCCGCAGAGGCGTGCGCAGAGCGTGGGGCGTGGCCAGGCATGAGCGCGGTGCCTGGGATAGCCACTGAAGTCAGTGGCAGGACAAGGGGACAATGGGAGCTCTGCTGGGCCATCATGGTCCCCAGACACCCCATTCCACCTTATGCCACAAGCACGGAGCATCCATATCAATGTCTATCCCCTGGGGGTGGTGACAATGATGACATAGAGATAAAAGAACGCACCTGCAGAGGCATGGATAATGGCCAGGGCCTGTGCTAAGCAACTTCTGCAGGATGTTGGCACGACCGTGGTTCCTCCATACCCACAATTTTACCTTCTATGGCTTCAGTCAACCACAGTCCAAATAATTTTACTACAGCATGGTGTCAGAATTGTTTGGTTGTTATAGTTTATCACAGGCATAGGAAAGGCAGGGCTTAGAATATGCGGCGTATCACTGGGAGCCTTGAAGGGCCTTCCCTGTGGATAAGAGGGGACAGATGTGACTCTAGGCCACTTGGAATCAGGGGAGAACATGCAGGTACCCAGTGGCTGGGAGATGCCCAGGGCCAGGCCGGGAAGCCAGGGGCCTCACTCTCCTCTGCTCTGGCCCAGGCATTGTGCGAGCCTCCAGCGTCTTCCCCATCCTGAGCACCATCCTGCTGCTGCTGGGAGGGCTGTGCATCGGTGCCGGCAGGATCTACAGCCGCAAGAACAACATTGTGCTCAGCGCCGGCATCCTCTTTGTGGCCGCAGGTAAGCTGCTGCCGCACTGCCAGCACAAGACTGGGCACGCAGCCGAGAGTGTGGCCACAAGGTCCACACTGCTCCTGAAGCTCACGGCCACAAAGTCACCAGCAGAAGTTCATGTGTATGAGGTGGGGAGGTGGCGGGGGAGCAACTGCTGATCGGTTCCTTTGCAGGGATGCAAATGTTCTGGAATCTGTTCAAGGCGGTGCCAACACAACAATGTCAGTAAAAAATGCTAGAGTCGGGCATTCCGTGTGTAAGGTTAGCCTCAATCAGAAATGTGTTCTCAAATTCCCTATGTACAAAGCACCGCCAAGTGGGGTGTAGCCTGCTTTGCCAGCCCATATCAGCAAACCCGGTTGGAGGGGTTATGGACAGAGCTCGTGGTGGCTGGGAGGGGTGGCTATGCAGAGAGATGACACAGGCAGGTGAGCCAGGTAGAGGAAGCAAGGAGACTCTACAGGGGGCTGAGCACTGCCCACCTACCAGCCCTGGCTCTCCCAGCCCAGGAAGGGCAGCCACACTTCGGGGCCACACCCACTGCCTCGCCCAGAAATGTGAACAAGGAACCCCTCCAGGAACACACCACCTGCCCCCCAGAGCTGGGATGCTCATCCCTCCATGGCCTCTCCACCCTGACAGAGGGCACAAATGCTCACGCAGCCTGCAGACCTGAAACAGGACAGGGAGGTGTGGTTTCACAGCCAGGGTCACTCTCACGGCCACAATCATCTCAAAACGAATTCATCTTACTGCCATGGTCAGTGTCATAGCCACGATCATAGCCATGGTCTCAGTCATGGTCGTCTCACAGCCTCAGTGGTCAGCACACAGTCCCACTAAGGCCTAAGTCCTTGGGGAGGGCAGAGCAGATGTCACTCCCGACCCTGAGGAGCCTACAAGAGGTTGGTGCAGTCTGGGGTCCTCCCAGTTCAGAGAAAGGAGATGTCTCAAGTAGGTGGGTCCATGTGGCCCATATGGGAGCCCTGGGTTCAGTTCCCAGCTCTCTGGCTTCAGCCTGACTGTTGCAAGCATTTGGGGAGCAATACAGTGGATGGAAGATCTGTGTCTCCACCTCTGCCTGTCACTCTGGCTTTCAATTCAAAACAGAAAGCTTTTAAACAGCAAGTTTAAAAAAATCATTCCAAAATGGACATTTGAGTGTCTCAGTACACAGATCCAATGACCCAGCAATCTCATTTCAAGGAATTACTCCCACAGCTATAGCTCATGTGTGTGAGCATATGCACACACTCAATACTGTAGGATGGCCATGGCAGCTTGGTTCAAGTCGAGGGTGGAAGCCACCAGTACACCCACCTACAGAGACGTGGTGAGGTGGGCCAGTGCAGAAGGGTGCTGTGTGCAGTCAGGAAGCCAGCCTGACTCCTTTGGTCTAACTGTGGGTGAATTTCAAATTTTTGCAAAAAAAAAAAAAAAAGAGAATTCATCTTTTAATTTTTTGAGGTCCTCTTGTACTATGTAAATAGAAAAAAAATCAGGAGCATGTGTGTGTTGGAGTGGGGAGAGCAGCCTGTGGAAGATAGAGGAGTACTGGCCTTCAGGGTGAAGTGGGCAGCTCAGAGCCCAGGTCTCGCACACCTCACTGGAAGTGTGTATGCTCAAAACCACTCCAAATTCAGTGCGGGGACCCTCCGTGGCTCTGCTGCCATGGGCTCGGCCAACATCGCACTGTCCTGGTCCTGAGCCATCCAGTGTTGTGTGGACACACACGCTTCACACAGCGTGGACGTCGTATGAGCCGTTCCAAGCCAGCTAGAGTAACTTCACCCATAGTGACTCCTGCATGAACATGGGTTCAAGGCCAGTTGGTGTCATTTTCTGCAAGGGACTTGGGTATCTGCAGACTTGGGGACCCACGGGTTACCAGGGGGTCCTCCACAAAAATCTGAGGATGGGTTTTCTTAGCAACCAGACTAAAGGAGGCACATGGCCAGCTGCTCCTTCCACAGCCCCCGTTGCCCGTCTTGTGGGTCTAACCTCTGTCCCTCTCCTTCCGTGCTGTCCCTGCAGGCCTCAGTAACATCATAGGCATCATTGTCTACATTTCCAGCAACACAGGCGACCCCACTGACAAGCGAGATGAGGACAAGAAGAACCATTACAACTATGGTTGGTCTTTCTACTTTGGAGCCTTGTCTTTCATCGTGGCCGAGACTGTGGGAGTCCTGGCTGTTAACATTTACATTGAGAAAAATAAAGAGTTGAGGTTTAAGACCAAACGGGAGTTCCTTAAGGCTTCATCCTCTTCTCCTTATGCCAGGATGCCAAGCTACAGGTACCGGCGACGGCGCTCGCGGTCCAGCTCCAGGTCCGCAGAGGCCTCGCCCTCCAGGGACACATCTCCCGTGGGCCTGAAGATCGCAGGGGCCATCCCCATGGGCGAGCTGTCCATGTACACGCTGTCCCGGGAGCCCCTGAAGGTGACCACGGCCGCCAGCTACAGCCCAGACCAGGACGCTGGCTTCCTGCAGGTGCACGACTTCTTCCAGCAGGACTTGAAGGAGGGCTTCCACGTCAGCATGCTCAACCGGAGGACAACCCCTGTGTGAGCCTCTCCCCAACCCCACTCCGCCTCGCTGGCCTCTCCCCACCCAGAGCCACTGCGGGTGGGCCGGGGAAGGCTTGGCTACCAACGACAACGAACAATAAACGGAAGTCCAGCGCAGCTCTGCATGGACTCCAGAAGGCATCCTGGACCGGCAGAGGGCAGAGGAGTCCAGGCGACTGGGACCAGGGCTGTGGCAGAAGCTGAGGGCTGACTGGTCCCTGAAGAGATAATGTGGATGACTTGCCCAAACCTATCGGGGGACAGGTGTGGCTGAGACCCCCCAAGAGCTTTCCTGAGGCTGCACAGGAGGGGAGGTGGGGAATAGAATGGAGCCATTATTTCCTCTTGGAAACTGATGTAGCCAGACAAGTGGGCTCCCTGCCCGGGCCCTGGCCCCAATCACCTCCCCTTCGAAAGCCTGAAAGACGGGCCTCCAGACTCTGTCAGCTGCTGTTGAACCTGAACTTCCCGGGTCTTAGAGCAGAAGTGAGGACATAAAGCTTGCCCCTCCCCGCCTTCCTATCCAGCCTCCCCCTCACCTCTCTCTTTGGCCGTGTGGTTGACAAATGGTCCCTGTCTAGAGAAAGCCATGCGGCCGACTGGTGCTTCAGCCTCTGGGCTGTCCTGGGCTGCCTCCCCTCCACTCGAAGAGACCGGGCCCATGGCTTTGAATTTAAGGGAAAGCCCAGAGTTGTTGCTGGCTGACATTCCTGTCTGCTTCTGGAAGCTTCCACATCACTGGAGAGTGGGCAGCACAGGGCCTGGAAGATTCCACAGGTCACAGGCAGCCAGGTAGCCACTGGCTGTGTCATTCTCACCTGAAAGGAACAGCAGCCAAAAAAAAAAATCAGAACCACAGCCTGTGCCCATGTGTGTGCCACACTGTCGCAGGTCCACACCGGAAGAGCAGGTTGCAGCAGCAACACATCCAGTGGCTAATGTTGCTGTGCTTTACTCTGCTACCACCTGGAAGGACCCAGTGGAGGAAACCGGGATGGAACAGGCCAGGATGGGCCTTCTTCCTCCTTCCAAGCCCTTTGTTCGGAACTGGATTTCCAGTTCACTTCTCTCATCTGAACCAAGAACGGGGAAGAAGAACCCTCCCCTCCCCCGGGACGTAGCATTTACCCCCTTTTCTAGAATCTTCGTGCTTTCTAAAGATAACCCATTTCTTACTCTTGGAGACTTCTGAGTCCCATCTTGCACGGTTGTCTGTGACTTCCAGAACTGCCCTGGTTTAAAAGGGACGAGCAAATTCTTACCTCAGCCACCTGCTCATGGAGTCCCCAGCCAGCTCCACCCCCCCAGGAGGCCAGACCCCAGGTCCTGGTGGCCTGCCAATGACATCAGCATCCTTCCCATATCTTCTGACCCCAAGAGAAGCCCCATGCACCTGCAGCTGACTAACCCCGAATGACCTTGAGCTGAGATGCGAGCCCTCCCTCTTCCTCCCCCAGCCGGTGAGGTGGGTGTGACCACACGGTCACACCACACAGGAACAGCAGTGAACGCCACAGCCTTAGGGTGTGCGCCTGTCCCTGCTGTGGCCAGTCCCAGCCCATGTTGCCCCGGCCCTCCCCCACCACGCCACTGTCTTGCCAGGCTGAGGGAAGGGCACGTGGCCACAGACCTGTCAAGGCCCCAGGACTTTGTATACTGCCCACTTTGGAAAGCTAGGTGGCCTTGTGGCTGCTGCTGCCTGAGCCACCTCCCATAACCCTGGGAAAGCTATGTTTCCGTGCATCCTACCTCTTGCCCAGGCCCCGGCAGAGATTTGGGGGCCCATGCTAGGGATCGAGATCAACCAGAAATAAGGGGAAGCAGCAACCAAGAGGGAGCCCAGCCTCCACAGCCTTTGTTCTAGCTGCCCGCTGTTGTCCCTGTCGGGGCCCCCTTCCCCAGCCCGGTGCCCACGCTGTCACTGGCCAGTCTCAGAGCGGGCCCCACCTCCCAGGAGGACGCAGTGGCCTGTACCCACCTTCTCATCACCCGTCCCCACCCTGGCCCTGTGTGTTTCGCCAGTTAAGCACCTGTGACTCCTGTACCTGCCTCTGGTTTGAGGTTGTTAGTTCTGTCTCTCTCTCTCTCTTTTTTTTTAATTAAATAAAAACATTTGTAAAATGCTCTCTTTTTGAATTAGGGGACTGAGGGAAGAATTCACCTGGAGTCTTTGTGGTCGTTGTTTGGAGTAAGATGACACCCTTCCCCTTCTCCCCTTCTCCCTCCCCCTCCCCACCCCAAGAGAGAGGAGAGGCTGGAGGTGGACTCTGATCCTCCATCTCACAGAGCTGCAGGCTGACCTTGACCTCCTGGGCAGTAATCTCCAGCTGTCTTTTTACAGATGTACCCAAGGATGCTCAGTGAGCTTCTACTGCCTGGAGGACCCTGAGAAATCCCCTTGGTCCAGCACTGTCCTGCCTGCTGCACTGACCCCAGCAGCGCCTTACCAGTGCCAGGATCCCCTCTGGAGCAGGTGCAGCTGGATGCGATCCCCCCACTGCAAGCCAGGGGCCATTTTATCCAGGTTCCCCTCATTTCCTCCAGGACTGTGACCTTGAGTTTCCTCATCTGCCACCCCCCGCCCAGGCAGGGCCATGGGCTTCTCTGCTCCTTGAGCAGAGAAATCAAATCCTTGAGCTGCCATTGAACACAGAAGTCTCCCAGCATGCCCCCAGCCCATCCCACTACTCCCTGACCTGACAGCTGCAGGAAGCACTCAGGCTTTTCTGAGTTTTCTGCCTGGGCTTCCTAGGTACTTGGGAAGCAAATATTCCAGTGTGTTGAACCTCCAGGTCCCAGGCTCTGACCTCTGACTCTACCACCTGCCATGCTGGTGGTGCACCTGCCAGGAGCCCACCCTGCCAGGAGCTGTCACCTTGTTGCAGAACTTCTGTGTCCTTGATTTATTCTTAGCCCCGAAGAAGCCCTGGCTCAGCACAAGGCATGAGCCATCCAGTGTGACTCCTGTGCCCCTCTGCACGTGACACTTGGTGCCGCCTCCCCTGGCACCTGTGGTTACACAGAGACTTGGTGCCTCCTCCTCTGGCCCTGTGGTCATACATTGAGGTCTACCGGAAACATTCCCTTCCTCTCTTGCAGAATCAGAGTCAAGGTAGATGTTTCAGTTTCTTCCGGGAGCCCCCACTCCGTGCTTCATGACTGGGGTGGGCTAACTACACAACCCATAGCCCATAGTCCACAGCGGGGTGCAGAGACTAAGGTTGTTCTGTGGGGGCTCTGGCATGGCCACCCAGCAAGCAGGATCAGGAGAGAGAGAGAAGGTGCTTTTATGAGTAGAGAGTCTCTTAGGAGATTTTGATGGACCAAGAGGTTGTAACTTTACTTGCTCATTTGCCAGTGGTCAGAACTCAATCATGTGACCACACACAGGCACAAAGGAGGGTGGGAAATGTAGTCTGGCCAAAGAGATTGAGGGGGAGGCGAAGAAAAGCTCCTGAAAAAAAGGGCTGACCAGCCTTGGCCATGGGTTCATATCTTCTGGGTCTTCCTTCTGCTCTCCCTATCCCTAACCTTTAGGGATTGCCCACTTAACAAGGACACCTGTGTCTGACACATGTCTCTCCTTCAGCTTCCATGTGATACAGGCTCTTCTCTGTTCCAGATGCCCCTCCCCCAAATCTGGAAAATGGGTACATGCAATCTTTCACTCAGGTGGAAGGAGCAGGTTGAGCTTGGGTCTTGAGCCAAACAGGAACTACAGCATCATGGAGCCCTGAGCAGCAGGTGGAACCTTGTCACTCAGTCTGCACAGCGTGGAAGAAGAATCAAGCCCCAAGAGGAAGGGAGGGACGAGATGAAAAAAAGGAAAGAAAGAAGTTTTGGGGGATTTTGATAATAACCTTGGGCAGGAGATGGGGCCAGCCATGTGGCTCTCGATGTGAACACTTCTGCACAAAGGTCGGTAGGAATTTTGGGAGGAGGGGAGTGATGGGCATCTCCTTGGTAGCAGCTGGGGATGCTGCTAAATGTCCCACAATGCACCCCGCAGCCTTCACCCAACCCACGGAGGAAGGATCGGCTCCGGTGGGGCAGATGTTGGGTGCAGCAGCTAAGACATCGCGTAGGACCCCTGCCAACCACATCCAAGTGCTTGGGTACCTGTGGCAACTCCAGCTCCTGACTCTACTTTCCTGCTGATGGGTACCTTGGGAGGCGATGGTCCATGAACTAAGTTCTTTATATCCACCCATCAGACCCTGATGGGGTGTCCAGCTCCTGGCTTCAGCCCGGCCCACTGCAGGCATTTGAGGAATGAAACAGGCCAAGGGAGATATTCTCTCTCTCCCTCCCTCCCTTGGTGGGCTTTTTTTGTTTGTTTGTTTGCTTGGTTTGGTTTTTTTTTAACCCAGTACCATTTTCTCCCCTCCCCGAGGATCACTCTGGGGAGGTCGCAGACCTTTCTTAGCTCCCCTTTGTCAAATAAGGAAGAAACCAACCAGGGTTGTTGGGAGAATGAACTAAATTTGAAACTGAACTAGCAAGCATCCACCAAAACCCCAGCTTGGCGCCTGGCATGTGAGTGAGTCCTCAAGAATGTTTGCTGACAAATGCCACTCAGGGAGTTTCCTACCATGGGCTGTTCTAAAACAGCTCTGAGAGCCAGGCCAGGAGGTGCCAGTGTTCTGTGCTGTGGTTTGGAAGACACCTGTCATCTAACCACGTGGCAGTTGCCCCAGAGGGAAGCTCTTGGCTGCCAGTGGGGTACTCCGAGCTCTGCAAAGATGTTTCAGGCTGCGAGAGCCCAGTCCTCACCAGCTCTCAGGTGCCCTGAGAAGGGTGCTGTGAGGGGTCCCAAGCGTCGAGGAACTGGAGCTGGCACCAAGCAGGGGCCTGGGAAAGAAGGGGGAGGGAAAGAGGAAGAAGAAGCATGGACAGAGGCCTTCCTGGGGGAAGCTCAGGACCAGCTCCCAGCATTGGTGCCCAGTACCAGCTCCGCCCTAGAAAGCAGGGACAGGGAAGGGGTGATGGGCAGGGTGGGATGGGGCGGGAGGAGCTCTCAGCATTGGTGCCCAGTACCAG